TGACATTTATAAATGTATGAATCATATTGTTAAAACTGACTGAAAAATAAATCTGTTCTTTTTTTTAATATAAAAGGCTAAATAAAACAAAAATATTGGTGGTAATTTTTGACTGTGTAACTTTACAAACAGCACCCTATATGTTTGTCAGCTGGGCTGATTGGCAAGTASGCAAAACATGTTTCATTTTTCTCCTGTTTGCAGTTTGTGCACATTCAGAGCATCTTCAAAGCTTTGCACTAATCTTACACAGAAAGATGGGCAAACTTGGCTAAAATGACTTCATCTGKTTTGCAAAAAAAATTTGATGAGAGTTGAATTTGCTGGTCATTTTGCGTTCTATCTGAAAAGTGGAAACGGCCTTATTTTATGGTAAATAAGCTCTTTGATTAGTGGAAACAATACTGACAGAAGCAAGATTTGATCTCCACAGGGGCCACCCATGATGAATGGATGGAGTCTTGAAGCTCCATGGTGCTTTGGAAAAGTGAGCTCCATTATATGTGGATGCCAACAAAAAATAAATAAACTTTATCCGTTAGTGTTTTTATTCCCAGTTGTCATCAGTCAACACAAAAATGGATCTTGCAATTATGTTCACCACATCAGTCGTGGTCTCTTTCTTTATGTGGCACTTTGTAAGTAAGAGGAGTTGAGTAAACACGGACCAACTCAGGGTTCAAGTTAAGCAGCAGACAAAAGCTGTTTGATGAAAACTTGTTCCAAATTCTTTCTTTTAACTTTTTTTTTACTGTTACTACAAGTCAAACTGTCAAAAAAGAAAGTGATTAAAAGAAAATGACTGCTATGTGACAAAGCTGTATAGAAGTAAATGTTGAACAGGAAGGGGACGTCCTCAGTTTGTTTGGACGGAGACATATGTCCTGTCYCCTGCCCGTCCCCATGCAATCACAAACACAAGACGCTGGAATCACAGGAGGTCATCAGCGGTGCAGACACAACAGAAGAGCTGGTATTTTTATTCTAGCTGCTGGTTTTAAACAAACACATCTCAGAAATGGAGTGCATTTACATCTGTTCCAGAGGAGGAAATGCTTTCTAGTGTTTATTTGAAAATTCCTGGAAGCTGCAGAGCACCCTCATKTCATCCTTTGCCTCTGCCAGTCCTGCACAAGTATTCTTCTGGTATTTTGAATATTTATTTTCACAGGTAAACAACTTCCTATTTTTAAAAGTGCAGACAGATTATGTTTTATTCCACGTACAGTCTTGTGTGGCAAAATTATTCAGTGCAATCACCTTTGTTTTATTATGACCCCCACATGCAAAGTGGGGGTCATATTGTTCTTTTTATTTATTTTAAATTGTTTTCAAGATTTTTGGTCAACCGTAGCATGGAAATGTCTGCACCAATCGATGTGAAATTTGTCAGGAATGCAGATGAGTCCGACCTACACTGTGCCACTCAACGGTTTTATGATAGACCCCATATTTGAGGAAGGGGCTCCATCTAAATAGGCGGTGACTGCACATACGAAAATGCATATAACTC